TTTATACGATTTCCTCGAGTTCTTTCCGAGAAAACAAAGTTTTACGGTTTTTATCGTAAAACTCGAATGATAGGTCGGATCGAGACGAAACGGGAGACATTTTGACCGTGGTTCGGAACATGACCGTGTCGAAGGACGTAAGCACTGAATCGGGGATACGGGAGAAGAGGCTCGGGATGGTCGGTTTGACGTATGGCGAACCGAGCCGGACCGGTCCAGCTCGCCAGCCGGTGAACTGTCTGGGAAGCTTCTAGTTCGCCCAACGGCGAACTAGCCGGGAGGAGGCTGGTTCGCCGTTGGGCGAACTAGACGGGAAGAGGCTAGTTCAAGTTTTACGGCGGTTTCGGTTTTTCGCGGTTTTGTAAACTGATTCTTCAATTTTTATAAAACGATTCTTCGAGTTTTATAAAACAATTCTCGAGTCTTATAAAACGATCCTCGAGTTTTATAAAACAATTCTTTGAGTTTTATAAAATGATTATTCGAGTTTTATAAAACGATTCTCGAGTTTTATAAAACGATTCTTCGAGTTTTATAAAACGATTCTCGAGTTTTATAAAACGATTCTTCGAGTTTTATAAAATGATTCTCGAGTTTTATAAAATGATTCTCGAGTTTTATAGAACGATTCTCGAGTTTTATAAAACGATTCTCGAGTTTTATAAAACAATTCTCGAGTTTTATAAAACGATTCTTCGAGTTTTATATAACGATTTTTCGAGTTTTATAAAACGATTCTCGAGTTTTATAAAACGATTCTACGAGTTTTATAAAATGATTCTTCGAGTTTTATAAAACGATTTTTTTTATATTTTTGCGGAGAATTTTTGCCATTGATTCCATTGTGACCGATTTTGACACCAACAGGAAGAGACCAACTTCTGACAACAATTTTCCTTAGCTTTTGTTTATTGTTATAGCAAAAGCCACAGCCAAAGGCAGTTGTCTTCTACGCATTTTAAAAGGCAATCTAGTGTCTGATGGTGTTATCAACAATCTAGGAATGTCTACTGTCTTCCCAACCTGTTCTCCAGTAATGATTCTAGCCTGAACCATAAAATCCATTAGCTGAGTGATATGCAGCCTGGTTCCATTCATTAATCCTTGAGTAAGAGCAATATTCCTTAGAACTATAATAAGACAACCAACCTTGAATCTAAGACTATGGTTTGACAAACCAGACATCTTAATAGTGTTTAGAAAATCAGGACCAAGAGCTTCTTCATTAAGTGAGATTTTATCCATTGGATCAATACTATCTGCACTGATGTAGATCTTTTCCTCACCTATGATATCAACATAGTTAATTAGAGCAACAACCAAAATCAAATACTCTTCTTGTTAGCTAAGAATAAAAATAGATTTTTATTACCATCAAGTTTATCCAACATGTAATCATCTATCATGTTGACATTTTCATTAGTAGGACATAAAATAGCTCTTTCTTAGAAAAATTTTGGCTCTTTTTTCTCTTGTAGTGAAGCATAATTCCCATACACAGCTTTGCTTATGGCTTCTATAGGATCATCAGAGTTGGTAATCAAAAATCTTCTGGAATGTCGATCTCAGCTCCCCCATCGTTAGGCTCAGAAACTTCACCTTCACCAACCCTTTAAAATCCAGTCAGAGAACTCCTTCAGGTCCTTAGCCTCTTCGATTGTCCGATCACCAGACAATAACCGCATGTTCTTTGTGAGTTTGAAAACCTTACATTGGTCCCAAAGATAAGAAGAATTCAATGAGGCTAAAACAATTTCAGCCCTACCAACTCCATTTATCACGGGTAAAACATGTCTAAAATCACCTCCAACCACAACTACCTTTCACCAAAAGGGGTTTATTCTATGCTTCCCACATATATCAGACATGTGTCTATATAGAGCTTCAAAACAATATTTGCTCATTATAGGCACCTCATCCCATATAACAAGTGATGCCTCTTTTACTAAATTAGCTTTATCTGATCCATGAGCCATTGTACGCGAAGAAAACTCATCAGGGCTAAGTGGTATCCCAAACCTCGAATGAGCAGTCCTACCACCTTGTAACAACAAAGAGGCGATTCCACTTGAGGCAACATTGTGAACAATATCTCCCTTAGATCTTATAGCTGCGGATATTAATTTCTAAAGGAAAGTTTTTCCAGTACCACCAAATCCATAAACAAAGACATACCCCCTCTTCCTTCAGTCACAACATCCAAAATTTCATCATATATTTTCCTTTGTTCATCCGTCATCTTCGGAACATCTCTATGAAGATTTTCTAACAATGCTTGACGTGAATAAATGTGCTCATCTAGTATCAGAACATTTTCTTTTGTACTGTCTATTTCTGAAAGTTGTGGCATAGAAGGAAATTGATCAAGAGAAGTCCCATTGTGTCTCAAATGCTTTTGAATCTCTTGTAAGGCAAACTTCTTTTTCTCCTCATCACTTAACAGAAGTTCTAAAAAACCAAAGAAAAAGTAGATGGATGTTAATAGATGAAACAAATATATATGATGACAATAATAGTGTCAAAATGCCACAATTTTATTCTATAATAAAGCTTAGTTGATATATCACTGACTAATTTATATCAGATTACCTATATGATATTAGAAAATTACGAACTTGGTCTATTGAAATACTTTCGATGACTATGCTCAATATCTTCAGATAAAATATGCCATCTACTTTTTCATACTGTCTCTGGCATAGATAAGCTATTATTAATCAGCATTATAACAAACACATGTCGTAGATCATTTCCACAGCTGTGTTGACTTCTCCTCAATATATCCTCAATGTACTCCTTATCATCATTTAATATCTCACGAGCAAAACATGGTTCTTTGTAGACAGGATAAAGAACACCTTCAAAATTTTGTATGTCATCATAACAGGTAAAACCTTTGACAACGTTTAACAACACACGTAGACAATAAGCATCTTCTTGCTTACCGGGAGCATAGTTAATCCTTCCAATGAGAAATCTTCTTTTTCGCCTATGAAATTTTTTCACCTTCTTATCATAGTAAAATAGTTGGAAATTTGGGCATAAGTGACCGTTCTTGCGAGAGCATCAATTTTACACAGCTCAAACCATGCTAAAAACATAGTATTCTCAATGAGTTTCCGTTTAACCACAGCGTCCATCTTATCTTTAACTCTGAAAATAAATGTTTTTTTTTCCGGGTAGATGGAAAATGAGCTTTTCAACAGCTGTGGATCGATAATGAATGGAAACTGGAAAACTCTCCAACCGTCTCTGATTCTTCGTTTTATTAGGGATTTCCGCAGATATTATCTTATTAATGTCTTCTATTGTGGGAATCTTGAACGTAGGATGCATGAATAGCAAAATATGTCCACGTTTCTGAAACCCAATTGTGTACATCGCTGTAGTAGTAAAAAAAATATTGGTTAGTGTATATAACAAAATCCCCTATATATTAAAAGAGATCTCGCTTTAATGAATTTTGCTTACGTGTCATTCATAGATGCAATGTAGAATTAATTCTCTTAATTTGATTGGTTGTTGGTATTTGAATTTTTATTTATTTAATTAAAGTTTTTTAAAACGAAACTAATCCTAGAATTACCTAATCTAATATATATTACCAAATAAACAATTAACCATCTTAAATACATAGGATTAATAGAATTTGTTTATAGAAAAAATTAAATATCATATATTCCATTATAAAAATTTAGAATATACATATAAATACATATTATATCATAGAAATAAGTATATAAACGATTTTAAATTTTTTTCTATTAATATTAGATAAAAAATCATACATTACAGAAAACTAATAATATTTCTATACTCACTATATATATGTATTCTTAAAATATGTTCAATAAATGCAAAACAATCAAATGTAAAAATTTTAAAAAATCTATCATTTTCCAGAGATAAATGTCGATATTTGAGTTATCACTTTCAAAAATTATTTATGTATTTTTATATTTAAAACAGAAAATTATATGGTATGTCATTTTTAAAAATATGAATAAATGAAAAAGTTTATTATAATATAAAATTACAAAAAATCGAAAAATTATATTAATACAAGACTAGAGTTAATATTCTATTCATATAATTCATATAGCTTTAAGTACAACAAAATTGGCATGTTTATTTTTAATAACAAAAAAAGAGACATAAATAAAAACTTGAGTGAATAATAATAAAACCTTTTGTTGCATTCTTCGTTATTTTGTATTTGTACATACATAATTTTTTATTTGTATACCAAATTATTTTTTACGTATTAATATAATTTTAAATTAATTATTTTTAGGTGTTTATACAATATCCCCTATATATTAAATGAGAAGTTACTTTAGTGATTTCTCATGACGTGGCAATCATACAGACATTCTTAAAAAAAATATTATAATCTTATTGGTCGATTGTTTTATTATTATTATTTTTTTAAAACCACAATACATTAAATGTATTTTGTCGTCGATCTCTTCTTCCATACTCTTTCTTCGATCTCTTTTTCCTGAGATATCTAAAGTCGCCGGTGATTTGCAAGATCATACTGGCTTGGTACAGCTTCGATATCTCAACGCCAGATCCTTCCCTCGCCCTTCTGTATACACTCATGCTGTTTTGATTTATGATTTGGGGATTTGGGTTTTTGGATGTTTTTGAGATCGCACGGTTTTGACTTGAGATCGTTTAATTTGATTTGGGGATTAGGGTCTTTGGATTTAATTGGATTTGGGGAGAACACGCAGCACAACCGCTCGCTCATTAGCTGCTCACTCACTGGTTCCCTTTGTCACTTAGCTCTGGAGCTTGATCTTGCTCATCCTATCAGCGGCATGTATTGTATTAAAAACTCTATGTTATCCCTATTTCAATCTGAAAGCTAGGATTTTTGTTAAACAACTTAACTTAAATTTTTTTACTTTCTCAACTGATTCTGAACTTTATTTGCATCTCTTCAATCTTTATATTACTTGATCAATAAGTAATTTTAGAGACAAGGGCACACTATGAATGCAACAACATCACAAAATCTCGAAGCTTTAGTGTATAATGATGTTCCAGTGAATGTATACATATGGGACATGGACGAGATTCTTATCTTACTTAGATCTCTGTTGAATGGGACCTACGCTGAGTTTTTCAATGGCTCTAAAGATGTTAAAAGAGGTGTTGAGATTGGTGAGATGTGGGAGAAACACATACTTAAAATTCTTCTATGAGTAAGTAAGTTCCTTTGTGTTCACAAAACTTATTCAAACCAGACACTAAAACATTAGTGCTTGTGTGGTTTTTGTTGTAGATTGATGATTGTAATGAGCTGTTTATTGATTCATTGAGGGAGTATGATGATGGCAAGGATCTTTTAGTTTGGTTTAGTCTGTAGAGTTCTGTTTTGTTAGATCTTGTTTGTGTAACTTTGTTGATATTAACCTAATTAGGTGTTGATTTCAAGATGAAACAATTGACAGTAGGAGACAAAAGACTGAAACTCACAATCTGGGACACAGGTGGGTGATTCTGCACTTAAGATTATACAAGTTTATTTATGTTATTTCATAAGGGAACTAATGTAACATTGTCAGTTTTCTTCTTGTAGCTGGACAAGAACGGTTTAGAACACTGACTAGCTCTTAGTACAGAGGTGCCCAAGGAATCATTCTTGGTAATGTAACATCTTATCATTCAGTTACAGAAAACTAAAGAGATATTCCTGTCTATGAATTGTTTAGTTAATGTTTCTTGGTGATTGTAGTTTATGATGTGACGAGAAGAGAGACATTTACCAACTTAGTAGATGTGTGGAGTAAGGAGATTGAGCTTTATTCCACTAATCAAGATTGCGTTACAATGCTTGTTGGGAACAAAGTCGATAGAGTAAGTTGCAATATAAATTACAAAACTTAAAATGGTTTGTTTATTCGCTGGTTGTCTTTGATGAAACACATATTATGATTACAGGAATCTGAGAGAGGAGTTAGCAGAGAAGAAGGGATTGCGCTAGCGAAAGAGGTCAAGTGTATGTTTCTTGATTTTAGTGCTAGAACTCGAAAAAACGTAGAGCAGTGTTTCGAGTAGCTGGCTTTGAAGATAAAGATCCATGGTTTGTGAAAAAAAAATTGTTCAGAGGTTTGCCCGCAATTTTGTGGGTAGTTATATTATATGAAAAATACATATTATGTTTACACTATTATAATTTTGAACAATAATTAGAAATACGAAAATTTTAATTTTAGTTTTAATTTCAAATAGTTACACAAATAATTAAAAAAATTTCAGTATATACTTTTCGAAGATCTATGAGATTTAAAATAGTTCAACAACATAAAATTTAGTCACTAAAAATATTTCTTTTACAGAAAATCTATGAGATCTATGGAAATCAATGAATTCACTATTGAAAGATTTAAAATAGTTTTACTTTTCGAAGATCTATGAGATCTATGGAAATCAATGAATTCACTATTGAAAGATTTACAATAGTTTTACTTTTCGAAGATCTATGAGATCTATGGAAATCAATGAATTCACTATTGAAAGTTTGTTTCCATCAAAATCCACTTCAACCAATATCACAATATGTTTTCATACCCGCACAGGGTGCGGGCCAGTCACCTAGTAGGCTATTAAAATTGAACACTAACCATGAACAGAAAAAGAAACTAATGCATAACCTTACATGAAACTGTTTTCCCAAGAATGTGCTTTCTCGATAAATCATCCATCAATGACTCGAGTTTCATTTTGAAGAACCTAGAAACAATCTCTGATCTATCCTCTGCTTTTAATTTCCTTTTCTCTTTCTCTAGAAATCTGGTGATCTCTGGCCATTTAGGATTGCATGTAAAAGTGATGAACAAATCTGGAAATCCAAAATGCTTACAAATGGTCATAGTATCCAAATAATTGTTCTTCATATATCGCGGACCACCAGTGAAAGTGGCTGGTATTTAAACTCTGTCCCTTAGTCATTCATATCGATTTTCCCTTTACTCTCAGACTGCTTAATAGAGTCATAACTATCTGATCGCAAAGTAGCTTTAGATATCGTAGATGATTAGACTCAATAGTTGTGTAGCCATCCACCAAAAAATTCTGAAATAGACATCTTGAAAACATGATGCTATACGACTCATTCTTACGTTCGTGAAGATGATAGGCAGAAAATTGCCTCATACTAATTGTATGCTTCTTCTGTTTTTTAGTAGCGTCGCTTACACCTTTCTTAATCCCAAGCGTAAAACCATCTTCTCCATACGGAAATAATAAAGGGCACTGCAATGCTAGATATGAGGCATGTATCTCATTGATTATCTTAAGTTTTCTTTATTGTAGCTGAAGCACTATATCCCTTTTATCCATATCAAGATTAAAATCTCCAGGAACTAAAGCAGCAACTTCAGATGTTGTTGGTGTGTTATATGTTCTGCAATCCTTAAGAAGATCACTAATAATCCTCATATGAAAAGCCTCGTCTGAATTTGTATTAAACCGTTCCCCAGCTGATCTGAACTGTTTAAGATACGGATTGACTTCATTTAACATCTTCATCAAAACCTCAACTATTTTGGTCCTCAATTTATCCTTCTTCTTGCCTTCATAACTCTTTTTACCTTGGATGCAAAACAAACAAATACGTAAGTAAAAATATATTTTCACTTATTGGCATTATCAAACTGTGTATGTACGTTGAGGCACACAGGAATTCAAAAACCAAGTTATATCCTAATTAGTAAACACAGTGAAACCAGCTCTTTAGCAAAACAAAAAAAAATAATTTATATCAAATATGAGATGATCTGTTCTTATTATATATTCTTTTTTATCTCTTAATAAATTTTAATATATATTACCTTAAGCAAGTTTCTCTGTTCTCAGTTTCATTTTGAGTATCACAGATGTATAGCTGTCCAAATTTGGCTTTGTTTCCATCTGGTGGTCGCAAACTACCCATTAGATAGTAAATTTCTCCATGAAATTGAAACATCTTTGGACCTTTCCCTTTTCTTACACATTTTTCCATTTTCCCACCAAGCGAAGTAAATGAGAAGATCACGTTATAAGATCTGATGTTGTTCTGAAAATGCTTACTTAACTGATCATCTCCTTCCAACAATTTTTTTAGTACTGTTGGTGGATCTTTTAATTGAGGCAGTTGGACTTGACCTTGTCCACAACAGAGTGTAAAAGAAGGATTTTTGGAGTTTTTACGTTTGTTCATTCTTTCGCCATACCACATAATAGCACCACTGTGAAAACATGTACATAATGGATCACTTTCATCTATATAAGCTGTACAGTTAACCACAACAAAAATAAATGACCAGTTTGAGTTTTATACCAATGAAGATCGTATGTATATGTAAACAAAGTTAGAGCTTTACCATCCTCTTTGGTATGACTTTGGTTTTCGAATAATTTTTGCACGTGTTGGATTCATTGCTGAAATAAAATCTATTTTATTTTCCTTAATCTGGAGTGCGAGTTCTGGCTCAACACAATAATCAAACTGCATATCTTCAGTTTCAGAATCAGTATTGTCCAAGTCACTACAGTCGAACTCAATAGAATCTTCAATTTCTTCTATTTACACCTGCATGGGTCAACAATTTTTAAATGAAATCAGTACGGGTCAACAAAAATCCTTGAAATGTTTCTATATATAGATCATCTATTTACCTTCAAAATCAATATTGTAGTCAAGTTCTCCTTCTTCGTCGTCACTGTCATGATCATTGATGGAAGGATTGAAAGTTTTTGATGGTGTAGACTCCTTTTCTGTTGCTAACAGATGAGCTATATTTGTAATGTCATTTAAAACCTTTGTAGGATTTTTTCTTCGTTTCTTTAAGATGTCGATATTTGAACCCAATGCTTCTACATTGTTTCCATCTCTCGCTATCAAGGCAAAAAAAAAAACGCCAGTTAGACTTTTACAAGATGTAAGTGAGAAAATGACTATAAATAATAATAATAATTAGAGAAAATTACTAGAATGTTATAAAAAAGTTGGTTTATTACTAGAGTGTTATACATCTTTTAAAAATTACTAGAATGTTTGTACACTCATAGTAAATGATAATAAGGACCTTTGGTTAGTTGTAATTTTTATTGAAATTATTTTTAAACGTTAATTCCACATCATTAATTAATTATCCACATCAGCAATAGAGAACAACCAACTGTTTTTTAATTACATAAACGTTGAAAAAAAAAACACAACAACACAACACAACTTCGTTGAAGAACTAAAAGAACTTTAACCGCCTCTTCCTAGAAATCGTCGTCACCATTGTGTTTACTCCTTTTTCCTTGAACTAACTCTTTATCTTGTCTTCTCCGATATCTTCTTCCCCGAAATCGTCATCTCCAATCGTTTCTACGAAATATTCTTTGCTGCAATTGCCCGAAATCATCTTCTCTGCTGCGTTTTTCGAGTTTGTGGCTGAGTTTTAATTTATGTTGTGGCTGAGTTATTTTTCTTTTACGGCTGGTTTATATATGCTGTTTTGGCTGAATTAGTTCCCGCCAATCTCTAAAAACCTAGCTATAAGAAGTGTGCATTCCGTTGATAAAAGGCAAATACATTCAAAAACATTCGAATCGGCATTTGTGGGATGTATTTATTTAAGTTGTTTGTGATTTGATATCCATATTTGGATAATCTATTTTTTCAGATCTGAGTGAAAGAGAAGATTGAACAAGAAGAGAATGGAGGAGACGGAAAGAAGTGAGGGATTCAGTAAGGACGACACAGAGGAGTTCAATGAAGCTTGGATACATGGACGAGTTATCACCGGAATGGTGCAGAAAACCTGTATTTTTGGTTTTGTATGTAAGAAACATAATCACCCGTGTATTTTGTGTTTGACTTATGCTATATTTACACTACTCGGTTGTGTCGTTTATATATCTCAGACGTGTTGCTTACATAACTCAGCCATACCTCAAACGTACCCTAAAGTCATAAAATGTTTAGATAACTTAGCCGTATCGGTTATATAAATTAGACATACCTCAAACATACCCTAAAGTTGGAAAACTGAATTCAAGTATTTTAAAAAGTTATATTGAACATCATCTTATCAATATCAAGTGAATATATATAAACTGAATGTGTATAGTTTCTTGAATTTCAAATTAAGACTTTAACTTGATCTTGAGATATATGTTCTCTTACAATCACTTATACAATTCTTACTTACACGACTCTAACATAATCTTTTCTTAAATCCAAACCTCAAATCATAAACTATAGAATTATAAAGTTATAAAACTTTTATCTTTGGACATTAAATCCAATATTTTCATTATTTCAAGTTTAGGTTAATATTTTAGAGTTAAACTGAAACAATCTTTTTTTTAAATTAATCTTTAAAAAGGGTATTGGTAGCATATTGTGATAGCAGTGTTTTCAGAATTGCTATGAAAAAACCCCTTTTCATTTTGGTTTATATTGATAGCAGTTAATAAACGCTATAATGGAAAATTAGTGAGCGGGAAAAGAAAAACACTAATACCGCCAATACTTAGGTAAAAATTAGACAAGTGCCAAGACAATTTTTTTATTTTTTTCGATAGCACATTATGATAACTTTGTCTTGAAAACTGTTATGAAAAAATTAACTTATATTCTTTGAAACCCTAAACCCTAAACATGTTTTAAACCCTAAATATAAACCTTAAAACTCTATTTTTCATACTATAACCAGAAATCATAAATTTCCTCGTAAAAGGCACGTAAATTCTCCTAGTAAAAGCCTCGAAACATTATCCTCGTAAAGTCGTCGTAAGTCTTTTCCTCGTAAAAGCGTTGTAATGGGTTACGAGGAATTTACTTTGATATGGTTTTTTCCTATTAAAAAATAATAATTAAAATAAATCTAAAAAATATATTATTAAAAAATTTAAAAACCAAATTATAAATAAAAAATGAAATAACTAAATATTTTATAAATAACTAAATATTTAAGTTTTAAATTCATAATACAATAAAAAAGAAAAAAAAATAAACTACGGATGGTGCTCCCTAAATTGACGAACGAAGTCGTCATCCCGGCTCGCCAACTCCTCCTCGT